ATTTTTAATTAATTTTTTTTATTGATTAAGGTATCCCATATTTGTCCTCAACCCCCTCATTCCAATCCCCCCACTCATGCCCCACCCCCCCTATTGTCCTTGACCACTGGTTAGGCTCATATGTGTGCACATAAGTCCTTTGGTTGATCTCTCTCTTTTATCCCCACCCTCGCTTTGAGGTCCAACAGTCTGACCCATGGCTCTAAGGTAATATTACCTGGGGCAATGGGGAAGTATTTTGGATTTATGCTCCTGACACTTCACAGGTAAGACCAATAACAGCAACTGCCTTTACATAAGCCAGGCAAGTGCTCCTTAGGCTTGCTAACGTTTGAGAAATGGGTCTGCCAGAGGCAACCTTTTGCAAAGCTGCATCTAGAGATTAAACTTTCTATTTAGTCTTAGTCCAAATGTGTACTAGATTTTCAAGTTATGAGGTGACCATCTTTTAACAGGTAAGTTGTGAGGGCTAAGTTAGTTCCAAAATTGCTTGGGCTGGTTAGTTCCCTAAAGAGGAATCCCTTTATCAGTCTTAGCAAACTAGAGAAATATATGACAAGCCAGGCTCTTCAGCAATGCCCCTGTTTTGCACTTATCTCTCTGCTGAAGAGCCTGGCTTGTCATATATTTCTACTGCCTGACCACTTCCTTATCCTGCACACCACTGCCCACACTAATGTAACCAGGAGAGAACTTCTTACTCAAGACCATCCAATCCATTTGATGCTCAAGACCAACTAACTGGATTCTTTCTCTTGAACATAGAGACCCAAAACTGTAGTCAATGCTAAACTGCTAAAGAATTTAAAACTGACAGTGTTCACCACAGTGGACTCTGTGCAAGCATAGCTCCTATGTCTTTTCAATTTGCCTTTTTCCCTTGAGAGGGTATATGTTTCTTCCAACAAAGACACTTGATCACGATATATCTTACCTATAGAAAAGAAATGCTGTGTGGTTGATTGGTCATAGTTATTATCATCCACTGTGAAACCTGCCCAAACTATTGACCTGCCCATACTATTATCCTGTTTTGGCAGCTGCATATAAACAAATTTATGTCTGTGTTCAAATTTTTTTTTAATTTCCCAAATTTGGTAGCACTCTATTTTATTCCAATGCTGAATGCTTGGAGTTCTTTTGCAATTGCTTCTGATTCCCAGAGAAACTAGTGCAAATTGCTTTGTAAATCAACAACCAAAAAAATCAATATCAGTAATGTCCTTTTAAAGAATTCAAAGATCAATAGTCCCCTTAAGCCACTGTCACTATATTCCAAGGTTCAAAAGGAAATATCCTGAAAATGAAAGCAAAGGAAATCATACATTACCAAAACTTTTATGTGATAGTGAATAAAAGCCAGAATATGATTTGAAATGTGAACATTTGTTCTGAGAACAATATTAATATAATAGGAAGATCATGGTCAAGCTTTACTTTTCCAGGTCATGGTTACCGATTTAAGAATTGATGCAAATAAATATTGTTATAAGAGAGCTGTTTGCAGAGATATTTTAAATCCAACCTGTCTTCTTCTCATGATATACAACTGTACAATATAACAGTATGGGAGAGACTACATAGGTCATCTAACCAGTTATGCACTTCATGCTTGACTCCCTTCTATCTCCCTAAAGAAATGACAGCCACATGACCTTGGCAGTAAATTCACACACACACACACACACACACACACACACACACACACACACAGACTAAATGCATTTTGAAACACGAGGTAGGATGCTACTTTGAAATATGACTATTGTAAATGTTTGGAAAAGGAGTGCTTTTTTTTTTTTTTTAACCCCCTACCATGCTGAATGCTTGGAGTTCTCGGGACCCTTGAGTCCCCAAGCCGACGCTCTATCCATTGAACCAAACCGGTTTCTGAGGGAAAGGGTGTTAAGCATTGTGACAGACCTTGATTATTGTTCCCAGAATCAATTCCCTTTAATCTGCAAATGTTTACTTGGCACACGAGTACTCATAATGAAGATTATATTCTCAAGCTTTCCTTACAGCCAGGTTTTACAGTTAATATTGCCGTGTAACAAATTACCCCGAAACTTGGGAGGCTTAACACAACCCTTTTATTATGCTCACAGATTATCCTGTGGGTCAGGATTTCAGCCAGGGAATGACAGGACATTGACTGCAACCAGATGTCATGGAATGAAAACATTTTCGCTGTTTCTGTAACACTGGGAGGACTTCTGTCAAAGTAGTCACACGCCCATCCCAACTCATAGCGGGGGGAAATAAGACTTCAACTATTGATAGGGGAGTGGCAGTGACACTGTAGAAGAGCACATGGCATAGGAGATAGATATGTTTACAGCCATTTTTTTGAAAATGCAATTTGTCGCACCATAGATATGTCCATCTGGAGTGAGTTCTATGGGGTGTGTGATCAATGGCAAGTTCCCTTCTCTTTTCCAGTTTCCTCTTGGCTGAAATGTGGACGAGATGACTGAAAATGGAGCAGTAATTTTGGACCACAAACTGAGAATTACAGAGTAGGGGGCTGGAAAGAGCCTGGGCGCCTGATGATCATGGAACCATAGCATTCCTGAACTGCTCACATTTTACATTATAGAGTAAGTTCTATCTTATTTAAGCCACTGTATTTTGTGTTTACTGCCATGTGCAAACAATGCTAATCTTAATAAAAACATCATGAATAAACACAGATAATGCAAGTTTGTCTTAAATTACTATATGTATAAAGATAATAAGGCTTATATGGTTAGAGTTTGGTTAATATTGTAAGCCATGAAAGTGAGATCATGGTATTTAATAAAAGCTTGCCTCTTGAAATGCTTAATACTCACATTACCATATTTAAAATCATATGAGGTTGAAAAGAAATGAAAATAGAGAAAACTTTCACAAATGGAGTGAATTCACATTGGATTACTAAAAAAGGTTAGTATCAAGATATATTTTTTATAAAAGTGACTTTTTTGTTACATCTCAATTTTTAGTCTCTGAATTTCCTGAGTCCTATATTTACTCTTTTTTGTGGGTAGAAAGATAACTCAGAATAATTAAGTGAGCTTGCCCTTGAAATACTTTATTCTATATAATAAAAGCCTAATATGCAAATCGACCAAACGGTGGGACAACCAGTGGAACAACCGGTCACTCTGATGTGCACTGATCATCAGAGGGCTGACACTCAACGCAGGAGCTGCTCCAAGCACGCCAAGGCGGGTGACAGCAGGCTACCCCTTCCCCCCTCATCACCCCACTGCTCGCCCTACAGATAGGCCAGGTCTAGAGACCTGCCAGCCAGGTCTAGGGACCCTACTCATGCAGGAATTTCATGCATTGGGCCTCTAATTTACAATAATATGATGGTCATTATGGAAAATGAACTATGTGTTTTTAAATAGCACTTAACTGGTAAAAGACAATTGTATAATTCAAAATTGTAAACATTTGCGGAACTAGCCTCATTTCAAAAATCAAGATTTCTGCTTTGAAAACACACATCTTTTTTTTTTTTAATATATTTTATTGATTTTGTACAGAGCGGAAAGGAGAGAGATAGCGAGTTAGAAACATCAACAAGAGAGAGTCATCTATCAGCTGCCTCTTGCACACTCGGAATCGACTCGGGACCCTTAAGTCCCCAAGCCGACGCTCTATCCATTGAGCCAAACCGGTTTCGGCTGAAAACACACATCTCTAACTCTATTCTCCTTATATTGAAGCATTCAAAATCAGACAAGGCCTAAGGGAAAGTCTTAAAATGAACAATAAGAGTCCAAGCAAGCAAAGTTTCCCTTGCTTTGGGACCATCTGTCCTAACTAGGACATTTTATTCTAGTTTCTGCCATATCCTATTTGAAGGGTATGACCTAACTATGACAACTGCCTCACAATACATGCATTTGTTTCAATAAATAGTAGTCAATGAATAGGGTGGAAATGGAATACTAGTATGAGAGCAAAACATAATAGACCAAATGAATGGAGAAAAACTAGATAAAATGTGGTTGGGGGAAAAAAGGTGTGACAAAGATAGGGATGGGGTGGAGGGGGATATTTCTTTGTCCACCTGAGAACCAGTGCCACTCTATGGCTTTTAAAAATATATATATATTTTATTTTTTATAGAGAGGAAGAGAGAGGGATAGAGTTAGAAACATCAATGAGAATCATCCGACCAGCCGCCTCTTGCACACCCCCTACTGGGGATGCGCCCACAACCACGGTACATGCCCTTGACCGGAATGGAACCCGGGACCGGAATGGAACCCGGGACCCGGGAGCAGGCCCGTGTTCTATCCACTGAGCCAAACCGGTTTCGGCTGACTTTAAACAAAAGACATCGCCAACCCTTATCAATGCTACTGGATTCTCGGGAAAAGATAAAACGCCGCCGCCGCCACCGCACAGGTGGAGACGGAAGTTTCCGGGCGGGAACGTGGCCCCGCGGCTCCCGCCCGCTCCGGGGCGCGCGGACGGACAGGTGGCCGGCGAGGTGCCGCCGGTGGAGCGGGAGGGACAGGCACCGCCCCGGGGGGCGCAGGGCGGGGACCCGCGCCGGAGCCGGGCTCCCAGCGAACCCGCCCGCCGGCGGCCGCGAGCCCCGCAGCCAGCGGAACGGGGGACGCGCGGCGCCCGGCGGCGCGGTTGCCATGGTTTCCGGGGTCACGTGGGCGCTCGCGGGCGCTCCGGGCCGCGCGCCGCGGAGGCCGGGGGCGGGGCGCCGGGCGGGGGGCGGGGGGGAGAGAGGAGCGGCCCGGCGGCAGCGGGAGGAGCCGGAGATGCAGCCAGCCCTCCGCGGGCCGCGCTCGCTCCGCCGCCGCCGCCGCCGCCGCTGCCCCGAGGAGGAGACGCGCGCCGGGCCAGCCGGGCCGCCGGGCCCACCGCGCCGCGCCTGCCGCCGGTAGCGCCGCCGGCACCGTCCGCCGCCGCAGGGCGGGAGGCCTGTCCGGGGAGGGGGCGAGGGCGGCGCGCCGGCGCCCGCCGCCCGCCAGGCCGGCAGGATGAGCATCGAGATCCCGGCGGGGCTGACGGAGCTGCTGCAGGGCTTCACGGTGGAGGTGCTGCGGCACCAGCCGCCGGACCTGCTGGAGTTCGCGCTGCAGCACTTCACGCGCCTGCGGCGGGAGAGCGAGCGCAAGGGCGCCGCGCGGGGCTCCGGCCATGAGGGCAAAGCCGCCGCCGCGGCCGCCAACGCCGCCGCCGGGGGCGGCACCCCCAGCAAGGGCGTCAACTTCGCCGAGGAGCCCATGCACACCGACTCCGAGAACGGGGAGCCGGAGCCGGAGCCGGAGGAGGAGGACGAGGCCGCCGCGGACACGGTGGCGTTCAACGGTGAGGACCGCGGCCCCCCGATCGCCCCCTCTTCCCGCCGCCTCGATCCCCGGGGCCCCGGATCCGCAGCTCTCCCCCCCTCCCCCCACCCCTCTGCCCGTGCTCCCCACCTTCCTGCCCACCGCGCCCACCCCCTCAGCATCCATTTCTGTCTTCCCCGCTCGCCCACCTTTCTACCCCGCTCTCCTTGCCATGCTTTCCCCCCTCCGTCCCCTCCCCTGCAGGTGGGAGCTGAAAGCTACCGGTTCTCAGCCCGCCTGTCTGTCCCCTCTCCCTCCGGTGCTGGGCTGGGAGCCCGGGGGAGGCCGGCGTGGGGCGGGCATCTCTCTGCAGGACCGCTCTCCCGGAGGCTGGAGGACGGGGACCAGGATGCATAAAGGAAACGGGTCCTCGTCCTTTTAGCGTCCTCGGCCAGCCCTTACATGTTTATTAATGGAGTGTCCAGAGCGAAAAGGCCAGGGGGTGTCCAGTTGCAATTGCATTGGCTTTGTGGTGAGGAGAGCACCTTCTCCGAGAGGGGCGTGAAATTGCAGAACAGAATGGATGGTGACAGCTTGGACATTGTCGGAAACAAAGTAACCTATGATTTTCCCAGGTGCCAATACCCAAGCGTTGTGTTCATGTTGGACACACTCACAAGAGGATCCCTTTTTTAAAGCCTGGGACACACAGGGTCTTTGGGATGAGGAAACTGGCTCCTAGTTTGTGGTGGTGGTTTTGTATAAAACAAATATTGAATGGTTTGGTGCCTTAAGGGGGGAAAGAGTGTGTGAAAACACGATAGGAAGTTTTCGAGAGCTTGTTAGTTGTCTTCAGAATGAAAAGCCAATGAGGAACTGTAAGGAAAGAATGAATGGGAAAGAAAAAGGGATTTTTCTCAAAGAGCTGCTCCTGTCAAGTCCCACCCCTCCTGCTTACAACCCTCTTTTCCTAACACACACACACACACACACACACACAATCTCCTGCCTGTATTTACACAAACGCCTAATAACCCGTCTTCATGGCATCCCAAGCTGAAACAACATGGTGTGCGCTGTGCAGGGGTTTCTCTTTGTGGTGGAAGGCAAAGGTGCCTTCAGCAGCGCGCCAGCTTGTATTTATTTACCCTGCTTGTGGTTTGTGCCTGCAGCACGTCTCATGTAATGAAAACATGTTCGAGTGTAATTTTCTTGTGTACGTGCCTAGGAAGGTGTTTCTTTTCTTTGCAAGATTGTTGCAATATATTGTAAAATGAATATACCTTGAGCTTCTTCAAAACAGTCACAGAATCCCTGGAAATTAGTGCTTTGTGAGATACAGGGAAAGATTGTTACATTTTTTTTTTAATCAGTCTTAATTGTTCGTTTTTGCACAAGAATTTAATAAAGTGCTTTATTTGGGTAAAAGAATACATATTATAAACAGATGCGAAGAAGCAGCCATTAATGGGTGACACAAAGGGCAGAGGCATCTCATACCTTTTCTTGTGCTTCCAACATGCACATGCACACATGTGTACATACATATGCACATGCACACACACAAAGGAAAAAGGGACTAGTTTCCAAGGTTGGAGGCAATTAGGCACCAAGGCACTTGTTAAAGAACCTAAATATGGTCAATACAATATGTTGTTAGTATAACTAAAATATTTTGCTTGAATAATGCTTTTGAAGTACTTGGCATTGATGATTTCATTTTTTCCTTACAGTAATGTATGTTATACACAGCAGATTTCATTTCTATTTTGGAATGAAAAAATTAGCTATTAACTTCTAAACATCAGGGATCATTTATATGGTTTTGTATTCTCCAAGGAACCTTTATTGCAAAAATTACTCAGTATGAGTTTTAATACATACTTGTTAACCATTTGCCCTTTTTAACCCCAGACCTAACCCTGAGGACTTAAAACCTTTAACTGCAACCAAATACGATTTGATCATTATCTCTCTCTCTCTCTCTCTCTCTCTCACACACACACACACACACACACACGCACGCACGCACGCACGCACGCACGCACACACATACCCCATCAGAAACTTCGGCAATGGCACTTCCCTCAACTAGGTGCAGTAGAAAATACCTAGTATTTTCTTTTATACTCAGGTCGGTGTCTCTCTCTCTCTCTCTCTCTCTCTCTCTCTCTCTCTCTCTCTTTTTTTTTTTTAAGTAAATTGTTTTGAAACCTGGAATTTATAAACAATTACAGGTGCCCTGGCTTAGTTGATTAGAGTGCCATGCATGAAAAGGGTTGTGGGCTCGATTCCTAGGCAGGGCACATATCTAGGTTGTGGGTTTGATCCCCAGCCAGGGTGTGTACAGGAGGCATCCGATTGATGTTTCTCTTTCTCTCTCTCTCTCCCTCCCTTTCCTCTCTCTCTCAAATCAGTTTTTTAAAAAGCACACACACATATCCTTAGGTAATGATTTAAAAAAACACACACACAATAATTACAGATTACTAAGGGACAGGCAAACTTTTTTGTAAAGGTTCAAACAGTAAATACTTGAGACTTTGTGAGCAACATTTGGTCTCTATCACATTCATCTTTTTCTCATGTTATTTTATTTCTGCTAATTCTCACCCAAGGATATTTTTCCCATTGCTTTTCAGAGAGTAAAAGGGAGAGGGCAGGGGAGAAAGAGACACACTTGGATTGGCCCACATGTGCCCAGGGGGTGGGGAGTGAACCCACAACCCAGGTACATGCCCTTGACCGGGAATTGAACCCTTGATGTTCTAACTACCTAGAACACAGGCCAGGCATATTCTTTTTTTTTTTTTTTTTTTTTTAAACAACCCTTTGAACACATATTCCCTCTGGAGGTTGAGATTATACAAAATTGGTCACAGACCAAGGCCATAAGTGTGCCAACTTCTGGTCAGAGATGGGGGGAAAAGTCAAAGTGGTGCCATCGGAAAACAAACCGACTGGAGCCTGTCAATTTCATGTCTAGGTCCAAAACAGTGCCAAAATATATTTTTAAAAAATACTGGGTAATTCTACTAGCATGGTAGAGAAGAAGTGCTAGAAGGCAAGTCCTAACTTACTATGACACACACAAGACCAGCTGGATCAGTTATTCTTAAATGTTAGTATGCATGTCAAGGAAGTTTGATTTGGAAGTGAATATTTCCAGGTGCCGTTCTTAGAGAGCTTTCTTGAGCTGGGGACCTGGGATCCCCCTGTCCCCCACAGACATGCCTGATCTTTCTGATATTCAGTTCCCTGACCTCACTTGGAGAAACATTGATCAGCAAACAGTGATGATGATAATATCTTTCTCATATTAACAGTTAAAAAATAGCTGCCATTTATTGGCTTTCATTGTGCACTAGGCACTAGCTAAATGCTCCAATTCATTATCCCAGCCTTAGGAGAAGGAGAAGATTGTCACTTGCCCAGTATTTCACAGCTAGTATGCTACAAGGTCAGGATGGGAACACAGGTAGACTTGGCTCCATCCCTATACTTTTACTCCCAGCTTTTATCTCTGGAAGGGGATGGGGCTGGCATCATCTGAGGGTTTTTTATTTGTTTGTTTGTTAGTTTTAATGTCAAGCTCTACCTTAATGTGGTTTATCCTTAAAGCTCCGAAAAATTAACTCATCCATGGTCACACACAGAGGGCTAGTAAGTAGCAGAGCCTGATTTCTTACATCTCTCTGATCCAAGCCTATCAGGGAGTTATTCCTAAATTAAATTCATACAGGTCAGGTTTTCCTGGTTATTTTTCCACTAATGGTGATAAAATTGCATTGATTGGTCCATCTCCATTCTCATGAATCGCTTTAGGACAAGTACTCGTGTTTGTAAGAGAAGGGGCGAATAGGCAAGTTCTTGACTGTGAAACTGGTACCCATTGACTCCCATAGGGGTTCAGGCATATGACAATGACCTCTCAGTGTAGAGGTTGAATCAAACAAGCCAGCAGGGTCTGTAGCATGGACATTGATGGCACCAGCTCAAATAGAGGGGTGAAAGTGGTCTTTACTTTTCTGCTGGTCGCTTTTTCATACCTCTCCAATTTTGTTCTAATTTTATCACTTCTAATTTCTATTTTTCAGTTTGCTGTCAGTTCTGTTTCAAAGGACAATTTTAGGTGTTAGAATAATGGCATATGGAGATCCCCCTTTTAGGGAACTGTTGAGGTCCTAAAAAAAAGCTATAATGGAGACTCTGCCTCCCTCTGTCCCAGTGTAGAAAGTGACTAGAGGTTGACCTGTCACTCCCGAAAGGGTAGTGTCCCCAGACTTAGAATTTATTAGAAGGGTTTAGAGATTACAGGCCAAACAGTTGGATTAAACCAATTTGTAGAGGAATCTATGGTAATTACAGGTTCCCCCCATCCGAAAGTAGAGCATTCCTATGAAATCTTTTGAAAAGTGAAGAAGTAATTACAGTTGAACCTGGAACAACAGGAAGTGGGGCGGTTAGGAGTGCCAACCCCCCATGCAGTCGGAAATCCATGCATAATTTTTGAGTACCCCCAAAACTTAACTACTGATAGCCTTCTGTTGAGTGGGAGCCTCACTGGTAACATAAACAGTTTATAACACACACATTTTGTATTTTATGTGTGTTATGTACTATATCCTTACAATAAAATAAGCTATAGAAAAGAAATTTATTAAGGAAATCATAAAGAAGAGAAAATATTTCTACATTATTTATGGGGAAAAAATCTTCATAGAAGTAGACTCACACACTTCAAACCCATGGTGTTCAAGGGTCAACTGTATCATTAATTAGTATGGAAAATGTATTGACCCAAAAGATAACCTACCAAATCATGCCAAATAGCACATATAACCTAAAATAACACTAACTTATAATGAAAGCAGTGCCATTCTTGCTACTCAGGGTGTGCACTACCTCTATAATGGCTTGCTGAACTGTTTTTTGCTTTTCGCCTTTTTTTTTTTTTTTTCATGAAAACAAAAATCCTCTGTATTTTTTTCAGTTAGTGAAAACAGCTAAGAACTAATTGCAGGTGTTTTGTAAAAGCAA